CTGGGACAGACGCTCCTTCAGAGCCTCTGGAGGAACCAGCCTCACCAGCACGGCGATTCCAAATGTCTGGCCTCCAGAATCTCAGAAAATAAATTTCTGTTCTTCTAAAAAAAAAAGCCTTTTTTTAAATGTTTATTTATTTCTGAGACAGAGAGCATGAGCAGGGGAGGGGCAGAGAGAGAGGAAGACGCAGAATCCGAAGCAGGCTCCAGGCTCTGAGCTGTCAGCACAGAGCCCGACGCAGGGCTCGAACTCACGAGCCGCGAGATCATGACCTGAGCCCAAGTCCGACGCCCAACCAACCGAGCCCCCCAGGCGCCCAAAGGACCTCACGCAATGGTTTTGTGGGTTTTGCCTTCTTATTGAAATTGTAGATGCACATGCGGTTGTGAAAATAATACCCGGGGTGCCAGGCTGGCTCAGTCAGAGGAGCGTGTGAGTCTTGATCTCCGGGTCGTGAGTTTGAGCCCCACGTTGGGTGTAGACATTACTGAAATAAACTTGAAAAGACAATAACACGGAGATCCCCGAACGCTTCGCCCCGTCTCCCTCGATGGTAGCATCTCACAAAATTATAACACGGGATCACAACCCAGATGCCCTGACAGACGCGCCCTCAGGTCTGCGGGTTTACGGGTTCACGTGAGCGCGTGCGCGGGGGCGTGAATTGCGCTCTGGGTCATCTGCCCGCCTGGCCGGGCTCACACATCCCCCACCACTGAAGACTTCCAGCTCCCCCAGCCGCCCTCCTGTTGCCCTTTCCGGCCACACCCGCCTCCTCCCCTCCCCCGCCCCGCCAACCACCAGCCCCTCCCCCACCTCGAAAATGCCGTCCCTTCAAGACCGTTATGTCGGTCGAGTCATCCAGGATGGAACTTTTCCTCCTCCACTCAGCGGAGTCTCTGTAGACTCGTGGGCCTGTTGCAGGATCCACGGTTCACTTCCCGCGGCCGCCGAGCTGGGCTTCGTGAGCGGACGGCCTGGTCCGCAGAAGGGCCCTGGGCCCACGGCAGCTCGGGGCCGTGACAAACACAGCTCCCGGGAGCACCTAGGACGGTTGGCGTGTGGATGCAGCTTGCATTTCTCCGCAACAAACGCCCAGGGTGGTTTGGTGTCGTGAGTCGCCGCGTGTATCGCGATTGATGAGGGCTTTTTGTCCCAGAAATCGGAAATTGACCCCAGAGCCTCCCAAGTTTCTGGTCTCTGCTTTCTCCGCGTTACCGCCCGGATCGGAGCCGGCAGGAGGGTGGGCTCCCTCCTCCTGGAGCTCCAGGACGGAGGACAGAACACAGACAGGCTCCCTGGGCAGGAGGAAAACCCCAGAAATCTCCCTGGGAGAACCCCACTGTTCAGAGCAACCAGAGTTTCAGTCATTCATGCATCGGTGACAGCTTACCGCGCATCCCACGAGCTGCACCTGCTGGGGACGAGGGCTTTGCCGTGTCCGGCAGGATGAGCCACATCTGAGCTGGAAACCGCCCTCCCCGCCTCCACCCGAAGGGACTGACGCGGGAGGACCCGCGGACACGTCAGGGGGGTCCCAGCAGTGCCTCTCATTGCTTCCGCGGGTTAGTTCGGTCAATTCTCTCACCGGACCGCACTCACTGTCCCCCCTTCAGGTCCTTCAGGAATGAAAATACCCCGGGGGCACAGCCCTGGCCACTCGCTCGCGGTCAGACAGCTGTGTGGCCCCGCAGCCAGGGAGGATTTTCATGTATTTTTTTTAAGATTTTATTCATTTTATTATTGTTTTGGTTTTTATTTATTTTTGAGGGGGAGGGGCAGAGAGAGAGACAGAGGGGAACAAGGGATCCGAAGCAGGCTCTGAGTGGTCACGTAGTGAGCCTGACACGGGGCTTGAACTCCTGAACCGTGAGGTCGTGACCTGAGCCGAAATCGGAGGCTTAACTGGCCGAGCCACCCGGGCGCCCTCGTGTTTTTTATAAAGGGCCGCAAAACACGACCAGACAAGGAGGAATACACCGCAGACACCATGGGTGCGCCCAAAAGGCCTAAAGTACCGTCCGGCCCCCGACTGAGGGTCCTGGGACCCCTGCCTCCTACAGAAAACACATGGGGGGGGGGCGGTCACAGTGACTGTACATTAAGTTCTCTTAAACTCGTAAGATTCACGAAGGATGAATACAGTCAGGAGGGATGGTCTGTGATTCCCCAAGGAGGAGACTGGTCCCAGGCCCGCGTCCCAGTCAGAGCACAGCAGACGTGAGTCCGAAGAAAGAGTGATAACAGGTGTGGGTGTGCAGAGCCAACGGAACCTCAGGACTGACCCTAAGAACTACCCCCGGTAGGTGACTCAGATCCCTGTTCATTTAAAACATCAGGGCTGTGGGCAGGATGGGGTAGGGACAGAAGCCGTGTGAATCCGGGATGTAACGTAGGGTCCCGGAGCGTTTATGGGCGTCTGCTCGCGGGGCCCGGAGGAGCCGGCACGGCCCCGACAGAGCAGCACGTCGGGTGCCTCCACTCGGGCTGCCTCCTCACGGTCTGGAGGCCAAAGGCCCTGACCACGTGCCGGCAAGGCTGGGTGCTGCGGAGGTGGTGAGGGAGACCGTTCCGGGCCCGTCGCTGGCGTGGGGACGGCCGTCTCCCCCGGAGTCGTCACAGCACCCTCGTCAGCCCGTGTCTCCCTCGCCAAGTCCCCCCTCTTTGTAAGGCAACCGGCCGTGTGGGACTAGACCCACCCCGATGGCCGCACGGCCCGACTGACCCACTTTCGCCTCCCCACCTGCGTAGAGGCCCGGTCCACACACAGCCCCAGCCCGGGGCCCTCAGGACAGGACTCCAACGCGCGACACCGTTTAGGGGACGCCGTTCGGTCCCTCACACGGGCTCTGTGCCCAAGAAGAAGAGCGGGGTGATGTTCAAGTCCAGGAAAGGAGAAGTCAAAGAAAGCGAGCTTCTCGGTGCTGACCCGGCCTCCTCTGAGCAAGTGGGGGGTCCCACTGGGCCAGGAATTCATCACCAGTGTTTCCCCGCCTGGAGAAAGCTACGCGGTCATGGAGACCAAACAAACTCGAGAGTGACGGTCAACAAGCCTTCCTTCTGTTTGCTTGCGGTTGTGGGCACCCGGCAACCACGATCGCAGAGGCACATCCTGGGGCTCCGTACCAGGAGGGGGTGACGCTCTGATCACGGAGACCCGGTCTGAACTAGACATGAGCCTCTTGAGTGGTCTCTCCACGTCTGTCTGCTCCTGGCTCTTTGTTTCCTGGTGTTTAGCTTAGATTTTTATTGCTAGTTTTTAAAATATGCTCCTAAAACATGTAAATGCATGTTCGTTATGGAACCCAGACAATGTTCGAGTCAGAGCACAGTGATCTACCCTCTTTTATTTTATTTTATTTTATTTTATTTTATTTTATAAATGTTTATTTATCTTTAAGAGAGATAGAGACCGCAAGCAGGGAGGGGCAGAGAGAGAGAGGGAGACACAGAATCTGAAACAGGCTCCAGGCTCCGAGCCGTCGGCACAGAGCCCGTCGCGGGGCTCGAATTCATGGACCGTGAGATCATGACCTGAGCGGAGTTTTTTGGCTCAGTCCGCCCAGGCGCCCCTGATCTACCCTCTTTGTAATGGCTACATTTTGTTCTGTCACTTGGCTCCAACACTGGGCATTCTTCCTATTCTCAGTAACAAGTTCCGAGGTTGATTCCTGATTTTGCTACTTTAATGTTTCAACACATTTGCAACATCTGTAACTTTGCCCACTTGAGGAGTAAGTTCCTAGCAGAACTGTTCAAAGGTGTACAGATTTTCCCGAGTATGGATTACGTAACACATCTCACACGGACACATGTCACTGATTGAAATGTACGATGATGCCACGGTGTCTAACAAAATCCAGACTGGTTTGTAAATTCCTTTAGGGTAGGGATCGTGATTTTTATGGGTCGGCACTCCTTCTCCGCTCTTTTCAGGATATGGTTTCAGACTGGTATTCATAACTATAAAATCTGCCCCTGGCCTGTGAGTTCAAGTTGATCTTGCAGGGGGCAGGGGAGGGGGGGAGAAAATTTTTTCTCTCACCCTCTTAGGTTCAGTCTTTGGGGCACTACAAATGCCCCAAATGTCAGTTAATGTCAGTTAAGCATCTGACTTCGGCTCAGGTCAAGATCTCATGGTTCACGAGTTCGAGCCCCACGTCGGTCTCTGTGCTGACAGCTCGGAGCCTGGAGCCTGCTTCAAGTTCTGTGTCTCCCTCTCTCTGCTCCTCCCTCGCTCACACTCTCTCTGTCAAAAATAAAGAAACATTAAAAATTTTTTTTAAAAAACCCACACATACCTGCGGGAGAACTCGGTGATGAGTAACTCAAAGGGGTGATTAGGATTTGGGGCTTATATACATGTTACCAGGCGAAGGAGACACATGACTCTTGGGAAAGATAAATGGTTTTCAGGAGAATGAACAGGAGCCAAAATTTGTGATAACGTCTGTCTAGGAAGGTATGAGTCGGCTTTTCCACCTTCCTTGGAGGCCACAAACCTCGCCTGGGGCAAGGATTAGGAGTGGGCTTTATTCTCCCTCCGGGAGTAGGTCTGCCCCGAGGAGGGGTTCCTGGCAGCCTTGTTTCTGAGACGTCACCGCCTGTCGTCAGATAAGGAAAGATCCCAGAGGCCGCTTCTCTCCACATCTGTTGAATCTCATGTCTTCAGCTTGATGTGTCTTTCTACCAAAGTGTCACGTTTTGGTGTGGCAGTTCCGATCCCTTCAATCTCCATCTAGATCCCAGACAAACTCTGGGCCTGCCCAGCCCATTGGCTCGCCTCCAGCGGGGCGGTCCTACACCCCAGTTAGTCACCCTCCAGAAAGCTTAGGACCGCGGTTCTCAAAGTGAGGTTCCCTGGACCCGCCACCTCCGGGGAAACTTGCCAGGAATGCACATTCTCAAGCTCCACCCAGACCCGGGTCCGTCAGAAACTCTGGGGGTGGGGCCCGGAAATTCGCGTTTTTACAATTCTCCGGGTGATTCCAATTCACGCCACAGTTTGAGAACCACCGAGAAAACAAGCGTATGGGAGACGCACCTACCAGTCGGAGCTAAGAAAACACTCTCCATTTTCAAAAAGAGTCACGTAAACACAAGGCCGCCAATAATAACGATTACGATTATTCCGAGCCATACAAACAAGTGGTATTCTTCACCTATTGGATTGCAGACAGAAGGGTGAGGCTGGACATTGCCGAGGGTGGGAGGGGACGGGCGTCTCCCTCACGGTTTTGGGGGAGTGCAAAGTAGACTTGCTCAGAGGGAAGGCAATAGCACAGTATGTATTTATTTATTTTTTGAGACAGAGAGAGACAGAGCGTAAATGGGGGAGGGTCAGGGAGAGAGGGAGACACAGAATCGGAAACAGGCTCCAGGCTCCGAGCCGTCAGCCCAGAGCCCGACGCGGGGCTCGAACTCACGGACCATGAGATCATGACCTGAGCCGAAGTCGGATGCTTAACCGACCAAGCCACCCAGGCGCCCCAGTAAAGATACCTTTTAAGAGGATATAATAACATACGGACATGAACTGAATGTATGTCCAGGTTTTACTTAACTCGCTAACTAAGCTCAGTCAACTGGTTCAGGAGAGCTCCAAGAACCTCGTGCTTACAGGAAAGAAGGAATTCTGAAATGAATTTGCCAGGGGAGATGCATCGCCAGGACAGTAACCGATGGAATCGTCTACATTTCCCTGGACAAATCCTCTGTGTTATCCGTTTGCTACAATTCCAGAGTCCCAAACTATCTCAGACACCACGGGAGGCGTAAGTGATGGGGCGGCACAGCACACGCTTCCCCCCAACGTCAGACCTTCTACAGCATCTTCTGTAGCTACGATCTCAGAAACGTCAAAAGACGAATGAATGTGGGACGTATTACAACGGTAGAGAAGTTAGAGGCAACTGAAACGTCCGAACACGAGAACCCGGTTCAGTCAATGCTGGTAGGCGCTTAGAGCAGTCAGCGCCCTCACCAGGGCGGACGTCGCCGTGACGCCTTGTCCCACTGGGACGCTGGGCTCAGCCCGTCACAGCCAAAGCAGCGGCTGTCTCAGCCCTCGCGCTTGTGATTCTAAGACACCGTCAGCAGTAAGTACCAGGAAGCTGAAGGAAGGGGGTTCATCACGTCCAGGACCCAATTCCACAGCCCCCCTGGGCCCGCACAGCGATCTCGCCGGTGGAGGGACGGAGGCACGCGGGTCCTGCTTTGACTGGGGCCGAGGACTAGCCCCAGGGCTTTGGGGGCTCGGTCTGCATCGATGAGTTCAGAACACAAGAGCGGGAATTCAAAGCGAACAAGATCCCGGTGGCCCGAAGGGTCAGTCGTCGAAATCAGCCGAGATCTCCAAAACAGCAGGGCTGGTGACGTGCTTGTTCCGGACAGCTTGCTCGGAAGCAGGTGCCTCGCCACCAAAGCCGAACTCCTCGGGCACCTGATCTACAAAAAGCAAAGCCAGCAGTCAGGGCTCTCGCTGCACACTCCCGTGGGTGCCCGACACTCCATCGAGGTCTCCTCCGGTCCTTGCGGCGTCTGGGCGAGCCTGCTACGTGTGTGTGTGCGTGTGTGCGTGCGCGTGTGTGTGCGTGATTGCGGAGTCATAATTCTAAAGCCCCAAAGCTCTGAAACGCAAAGCGTGTCCTCCTAGCTCATTGGCCGTGAAACCTGCCTAGCTGACCTGCCTGTTGGTGGCCAGTGTGGACGTCCAGAGGTGTTGCCACCGACTCTTGGGGCTGCACTGACTTGGCCTTCCACGGGGTGGGGACATCCTGAATTCAAAGCAAGTCTAGTCCCAAGGGGTTCATTCACCGTTTGTATCAAGTGTAACAGACCCGAGAGCTGAGGCGAAAAGTGGCTGCAAGGTCCCCAAGCCCTCCCACCTCACGGGTTTGGTCGGTGTTGACTTCAGCGAACGGAGTGCCGCGTTGACTGGTGTCCCCCAATATTCATGCACCCAGAGCCTCCGAATGGGACCTTGTCTGGAAATGGGGTCCCCGCAGATGTAATTGGTAAGATGAGGTCATACTGGAGTAGGATGGGCCCTAGATCCAGGGGTTGGTGTTGAAAAGAGGAACCATCCATCGTGTTCATTCATATCACACCGACACCCTCCGAATACTAATGTCACTTCTGTCCAGTCCACCTCATGACACTCCGGTCACCAGACGTGTGGGGTTTCCCACACATCAGGCAACTCTGTGACACCAGCCGGACATCCTACAGTTTAACCCGATTCTGACACCAGGTCGGATCACAGAAGGCCGAAGGCTCAGTCCCACAGGACGGCCCCTCGCCCCCATTTCTAGGCCAGCTGTCGGAGGTTCCGACGACCCCCTTGCCTTGGGCTGGGTGCTTGGCTGGAGCAGCGCACCGAACTCGGGAAAGCAGTTTGCTCTCGGGACTCCCTGTCTGTATAGAGGGGCACAACTCGGGAACAGCCAGGCAGAAGCCATGCACGGGGCCAGCGAGGCAGGAGTGGGCGCAGAAGCTCTCTGGGGGCGCCACCCTCCCAGCACCCCCACGTGCCCACCGAACCTCCTTTTTGGGTTTCTACGGAAGCTTCCGTACGTAGGCACGATTGATTAAACCGTGGGCCATTGGCGACTGAACCCAATTTCTAGCTCCTTCCCAGGAGGCGGAGGCCACACAGAAGTCCCCCCCCCCCACCGCCACCATTTTTAGGGGTTTTCCAAACTCACCTCTGAACACAAGCTCAGGTGTGGCCCACAGGGAAATCCTGGGAAATCCCAGAGGCTTCCAGAGCTCCGTGTGCCAGAAAGGAGGAAGACCGTAAATGCAAATAAATACACATTTATTGTGAATCAGCCTGGGAAGATTGACTCCCATTAGCAGAGCGGGAAAGTCAGAAGGCAAAGCACCAGGATGAGAAACCACCTAAAGGGACACTGTCACGAACGTCACCCTGTCTGCCATCTATTCTCCTCAGGGCCCACTTATCTTTCCTAGAACACTTTGTTTTCCCGGAAGTAGACCTCCCCTCCCCCTATTATGATAGCAGATTAGGCCCAAATTGTAACCATCTCCTGGAGTCACATTTTTCTGTGTTTTTTTTTCTATTTTTTTAATGTTTCTCCTGTACATACTTACACAAATAAAAGTCTATTGTTTCTCTTGCTTGTCTTTTATTGGTTTAATTCACAGGTCCCCTAACAGGAGCTTAGAGGGTACAGGAAACCCCCCGCCCCGCCCCCGCCCCAGTATATGCGTTTGTTTTGCCAGCGTAGAGAAAAAATAGGAGGAATGTTCATCAAAATGTTAACGGTAGTTTTGTTTGGTATAACTAGTGACTGGTTTTCTCTTTTTCCTCTTTATATTTTAGGGTATTATGTGAGTTTTCAAGATTAGCTGTCCTCAGTGGAGGGACACTTTCATGCCTGGGGATGAGAGGACTGCATGAGGTTTCTGAAGGCATTTGAGAGGTGAGGGAGGGCATAGGGGAGTGTGTTTAGGTGTTGACAGTGATAGGTGTCTGTTAGGATCGTTCGGGAGGAGTTAGTGCTCATGCAATTTGTCTCAGGACTCCGTATGGAACATGTACTATTTAAAGTTCGGTTTTTCAAAAAATCATACTTAGGGGTGCCTGGGTGACTCAGCCCGTTAAGCGTCTGACTTCGGCTCAGGGCATGATCTCACGGTTCACAAATTCAAGTCTCGTGTCGGGCTCTGTGCCGACAGCTCGGAGCCCGGAGCCTGCCTCGGGTTCTGTGTCTCCTCCTCTCTCTGCCCCTCCCCTGCTCATGCTCTGTCTCTCTCTGTCTCTGTCTCTCAACAATAAGTAAACGTTAGGGGCGCCTGGGTGGCGCAGTCGGTTAAGCGTCCGACTTCAGCCAGGTCACGATCTCGTGGTCCGTGGGTTCGAGCCCCGCGTCAGGCTCTGGGCTGATGGCTCAGAGCCTGGAGCCTGTTTCCGATTCTGTGTCTTCCTCTCTCTCTGCCCCTCCCCCGTTCATGCTCTGTCTCTCTCTGTCCCAAAAATAAATAAACATTGAAAAAAAATTAAAAAAAACAAAACAATAAGTAAACGTTAAAAAAAGAAAAAGTTGCCCACTCCACCGACGGAGCCAGCCGGGCGCCCCCTCCCTGTATTTTAAATTGCCATCTTAAATAGGGATTCATTTCCACAGATGGACAGCAAGACTAACCTGGAATAAGCCCACTGGTGCGGTTGTGTTCATTAAAGAGAATTTCTTTTTAGGAAGGTGCAGAGTCAGAGAGTTTGGCTTTGACGGCGTGAACCAGAAGGACCGACCGTCTCTGGGCCTCGTGAGGAGCCTGATGGAAGGTGGGTTTCAGACGCTGTGGGCAGTGATGGCTGAGGGTCTAGGTGTAAGCTTGGGGCTCTTCCGGAGTTGGGGGTGAGGACAGACCGTCCGGGCCGTGTCCCTCTCCCGGGCACCGCCGGCCATCGGTCCACTGGCTCAGCCGGGGGGCCGCTCCCGCTGCGGCGCCCGGCTCGACGCTTTGGAAGAAAGTCCCGTGGACCTGAGCCCAGGTGCAAGGAATGCTGGGCCGCGGCCTTCATTCTCCATGGAACCTAGAACTCGAGGGTTTGCTTCTGCGACACAAAGGGACAATGGGACACGGACGGTCTCAAATGAATCCACTCTGGAAACAACGATCTCCCAAACCAAGTGGGCTGAGGTCTCCATCCCGGTGCCCTGGTCAGGACGCCCGAGTGGCGCGGAGGAGGCTGGGTCCCACCGCCTGTTCCAGAAGACCAGCCCCGCGAGGGCTGTGCCTCATTTCCTTCACGGCCTCAACTGCAACTCCTTCGCTCGAGAGGCATTTCAGTGTCACCCACCTGGACCTTGCTCCTCTGACTATATCGTCCTGACCCTCGAGCCCCGCTAATGCCACAGATAATGTGTCGAGTGAACGCGAGGGTTGCGTAGCAGGATGAGAAAGACACCTGTTGTCAGAGCCGCTGACAGCCTCGTGCAGTTGTGGCCCCAGATAAGAAAATAAAGGGATGTGGGACACGGCCAGAGGTCACCGTGGGTGGCGAGGCACCGCGAGCACCAGCGCGGCGCTGGCTTCTCTGGCCTGGCGGGTCCATCACCTGACCCTGACGGAGAGGCGGCCGTTGTCGCACTTCCCGTAACTGGACAGAGAGCCACTTGGCCCCACCGGCAACATATCAATGAGAATCTTATGATTTCATTTCTTCTGAATGAGCAACATTATCACCACGACTTTCCGGCTCTGGAGAAAGAAAACGTTCCAGAGTAAGAAAGATGAGACTTTTCCTTCAAGTATGGCCGTCCTGAATTGGAATTCTTCGTTCAACGGTGTTAGTTTTCCTGGTGTCATAATGTCTGAGAAGCCATCAGTGGCACTCACAGATCAGCCTTTCTGGAACGGTTCTACAAATCAGACAGTATCACAAGTGGGGAAGGCAGATAAACGTGTGCCTCCCCTGGCCCTTTGTCATTTCTAGAAGCGACAAAGCCTGTGTCGCTGGCCCACGCTGGCGACATTCAGCAGGTGCAACAGCAAAATGTTCCGAGCTTGCAGGACGGGGCCAGCCATCACTCACCTGCGTTGGGGTTCTCGCTGGCGGGTTTTGGGGCCTAAGTGTCAGACCCCAGCCGGAGAAGTCCGATCTCTACACGTCTTTAAACAACTGGGAATTGATTGTCTACCTGCTTCTTCCCTGTCCCCACCCGGTCTGAGAATCCCGGGGCTCAGGGGGAGGGGAGACCGCAGAGGCGAGCGGGCAGGTGCGTGGGCGCAGGGGGAGGGGAGACCGCAGAGGCGAGCCGGCAGGTGCGTGGGCGCAGGGGGAGGGGAGACCGCAGAGGCGAGCGGGCAGGTGCGTGGGCGCAGGGGGAGGGGAGACCACAGAGGCGAGCGGGCAGGTGCGTGGGCGCAGGGGGAGGGGACGCCGCAGCACCCGTGTGCTGGGACACACTTCTCTGCATCCAAGAGCACGAAAGCAGAGAACAAAGAAACGACCGGCCCTGCAAAGCTGTGCTGTGTCTGTGGCTGCGGGCTCTCCCCTCCCTGCCTGAACCGGTGTGTTGGGGGGCGGGGGGTGGCCGGCACTGGGCGGGGACGTGGGAGCTGGGTCCTGCACACCCCGGGGCGCCCCTGAGGGCCAGCATGGCTGTGCACCTCGCCAGGTCACAGGCCCTTCCGCCTCTCAGCGCCCCCAGACCCCAGCCCCTGCCCCCTCAAGGTGTTGAAGACCTCCCCCTCCTGGCCGGTCATCACTATCTCCCGTACTGCAAGGAGCTCCCTGAGCCTCTGGCATCTGGCACAAAACCCTGTAGCCTCTCCGCTGTGTCCAACAATATCTTCATCCTCTTCTTCACCCACTTGGTCGACAGATGCTCACAGTGCACCCACTGTGTGGAGGCGTGGGAGCCCCGCTGTGTGCCCGTGGTGTGTCCCAGCCAAGCCCCGAGGAAGGCTCGGGCGGGTGGTGCAGGAGGGGCCAATGTCGTCAGGGTCCCATGAGGAAAGGTTGGGTCCACTGAGGAGCCCAGGAGGAGGTATTTCGTAAGGGACTCACGATGGAGGCAGCACTGGGTGCAGGGACAGGGCACCACCACGGCTGTAGCTCGAGGGGACGGGACTTCTGTTACCCGAGGTGACCCTGGTACGGGCACAAATGCCCTCTGCTCCTGCGCCCCGCCCGCCCGCACCCCATGCCGGGTATCCACTGCTGGGCCCGGGGGTTCCTCCTCCCCTCCGTTCTTCTCTCCTCAAAACTTTCCGAAACGTCTCCCTCAGAATTATGAAAGCCATACCCGTTCATCGTGAAAGATCCAGAAAATAGCAAACGTGGCAAACAAGGAAGTAAAAAATCAGCGGCACCGTCCGCACAAAGGCAGCAGCGGTTGACTCGTGCTGTGAGTCCTTGACCTTGTCTACGCATCCCTAGGTGTGTATTTACTTTGCAGTTTTCAGGTTGTAGATACAAATCTCGCCGGGCTGCCTTTTTGATTCACAATCCTGCTAATGTGGGCCTGAAGTGCTGTGCTGTCATTTCAACGTGCCACCTTGCAGGTGATGCGTTCGTTGCAAAGACAAACTTGTACCTTTGCGATCGAGAGGGTCACCATGCTCCCGCCAAGGGTGACACAGGGTCCTCGGCAGTGGAGGCCCATCTTGCACCCATCTTGTCAAACAGCATCACCTAAATCTAATCACGAGGAAATAATTAGACAAATCCCGAGTGTGGGACATCCTACAAGCCAACACGTCTGGACTCTGCCAAACCCAATGTCATGGGAAACAAGAGAAGGGGGAGGAGACTTGGGGGACTAAAATAAAAAGACAGAAGAGATAAACCCAAGTGCCAAGCATGAGTCTTGCCCAGACCCTGCATAGAAAGCGAAAGTGGAAGACGTTTTGAGACAACGGGGAACATTTATACGTGGATTCTGCAGGGAAGGGGAAAATTTCCCTGCTTCCATTCTAGGTTCTTTGGCTGGTCTAACAATTAAATTGGGATAAGACAGAATAACAGAAAAGCCAACGTTGTACGTACGGGAGCCCCATCAACATAGGAGGCTCCAAGGCAGTCAGGCAGTTGTGTCTCATACACCATCCTGAGAGAAGGGGGGGGAGCAGGGGCGAGCAGGACAGCTCCCCAGAAGGTCAGAGAAGCAAATGTTCGGTAGATAGATGTTTTGTAGAGAAGCAATTTATGTGACTTGTCACGCGTTTCTGCCCCAAGCCGCACGGACCAACCATGGGGGGCTGGTTGGCTTGTGCTCCGTATTCGGCCTCAGGATCAGAATTGGCCCCTCTGTTCCTGATGCCCAGAGGGATTCACTTGCCTCACGTCCTGGGGTCAGATGTCGCTGGCCCCCTGGGATGGCTCAGGGAGGGAAGAGGTATGTGCAGGCCCCCGTGCTCCCGAGATCGTGAGACACGGTAAGAAAACACCGCTCGCTTAGGGACTGCACTTAGGCAAACCCAATGACTAACCGCAAACCACACAGGGGTAGCGTATCTATTGGCCTACTCTTTGGAAGAAGAGCTCTTTGGAAGTCTCACCTCAGGGGAGGACGCTCCACCAGGACCCTCAGTCGTGACTCCAGCCGGAAGGTTCCACGTTGGGAGTGCCCGATCTGGTGTGTTGAGACTTCATTGGTGGAGCGCCAGCGTGGCTCGGTCAGTTAAGCGTCCGCCCTTGATTTGGGCTCGGGTCGTGATCTCACGGTCCTGAGATGGGACCCCACGTCAGGGTGTGTGCTGTGCGGGGCCAGCTTAGAATTCTTTCTCTCCCTTCCTCCCTGCCCCTCCTCATCTCATGCTCTCTAATAAATAAACATTTCCCCCCAAAATCCTTCTTTGTTCTTCTCTATCCTTCTCTCCCTCTTCATGTTTATTATAATTGCTTCATTCCTGGGGCGCCTGGGTGGCTCGGTCGGTTAAGCGTCTGACTTGGGCTCGGGTCATGATCTCGCAGTCCGTGAGTTCGAGCCCCGCGTCGGGCTCTGTGCTGACTGCTCGGAGCCTGGAGCCTGTTTCAGATTCTGTGTCTCCCTCTCTCTCTCTGCCCCTCCCCTGTTCATGCTCTGTCTCTCTCTGTCTCAAAAATAAATAAACGCTAAAAAAAATTTAAAAAAAAATTGCTTCATTCCTTATATTCCCTTTCCCTTATAACAAGGGCTTCCTCCACGAAACCGAAAGTGTGGCTCTCGTGAATTCTTTTTATTCAGGACACCTGCAAGCAGGTAAGTCTTCCTGATGTAGAACATTACCTCTGGCGACGCTCTCTCTTCCTGGCACAGGCCCCCATCTGGGTTCTGTCAGGCAGTCAAACGAGAGGTGAAAAGCTTCTCCTGAGTCTGCTGGGCCCCAGTCGTCTGCAGCTCGAAACAAGCCATCGGGCCAAAGTGGCACACGTGGGGGTCCCGTGCCGCACCCCCCCCCCAATCACATGGCAGGTGGCTGAACCAACGTCTGCTTTCTCACACGTGATGGTAGCACCAGGGTTATGAGGGAGACTTTCCTTACGCCTCAGTGGTACATGCTGAAAACTTCAGGGGAGGGGCGCCTGGGTGGCGCAGTCGGTTAAGCGTCCGACTTCAGCCAGGTCATGATCTCGCGGTCCGTGGGTTCGAGCCCCGCGTCAGGCTCTGGGCTGATGGCTCAGAGCCTGGAGCCTGCTTCCGATTCTGTGTCTCCCTCTCTCTCTGCCCCTCCCCCGTTCATGCTCTGTCTCTCTCTGTCCCAAAAATAAATAAATGTTGAAAACTTCAGGGGAGCAGCGTCACGATCTACAACCCACTGTCAAACGGTTCCACAAAAAACACGACGGGAGAGAGAGCGAGAGCGACGCGAACGGGGTGGGGGGGCGATTTCGTGTGCTCATCTGATTCATCGTTTCAATTCTGCAGGTTTGAAAATTCATGCCAGAAGTCAGGGGAGCGGGGAGTTCCTGTGCGA